ATGGTCTACAACTTTTATTTGAATCATTTTTTCTTTAGAATGTAAAAAAAACGTTTTACAAGCACGTTTTAAAGATACAAAACATTTTTTTTGTATCTTTTAAGATTGTTAAAAAAAAGAACAAAGCATAATCAACTGTACATCTATTTTTCATCAACTATCATACTATTTAGAATTTAAATAACCGTAGATTTTTCAAAACTATTTACCGAGGTTCTGTGAAATACTTTCTTGTTGCATGGTTAAGTTAAATATTATTTTTTTATGTATATTATGTATATAGAAATGTAATATTAATTACATTTTTAATTAACTAGTATTTATTGTTTATTGTACAAATTATCTAAAATGTGTATAACACATTTTGTACAAAAAAAAAACGTTTTTTGAGAACGATTTCCGGAATGGAAATCAAAATGTCAAACACAAGTTAATTAAAAATGTGATTCTTATCACAATTACAACCAATAATTGAGGAGTAATGCCATAAAAATCATAATATTTACCTCAAACTATTCACCGATAGCTTGGATTAAACAGGTTGTAAATTGAAATTTATGTAAAATAATTCCCCTACACATTTCTCTGGGAAAAATATCTACCTTAAATAAATATACCTAATGACAAAGAAAAAACCAGTTAAGACCGCAACTTGTTAGCAGGTCGTTGGCAGGTTGACCGAAAACGGATCGATATTTATATACCTAGATATTATTTTAAGTATTAATACCGGCAACATCTATTGGCTTTAAAATGATAGCAAATACAGTGATTTTAAATGAATCGATGTTAAAACGTAGGATTGATGTAAAAAAATTAAATATATAAAAAAATCAGAATATTGAAAAACCGACAACGCTGCTAAGCCAACAGAGGTGCACTAAACGAACATACACGACTTATATATAGAAAATAATAGATTTTCTTGGTGATGCTAAATTACCTGCAACGTGAAACGAGTTTAAAATGATGGCGGGATGTATATATATATATATAATATATATATATATATATATATATATTATATATATATATATATATATATATATATATTAATGACCTTACAAGCATTGAATCAAACGCTACATACACACTCTTTGCTGATGACACCACAGCCTCTTTCTCAGCTGACACACTTGAAGACTCCCTTAGGGATTCCAGGTCTGCACTATCGGATACTAAAAAGCTGTTTTGTGTTAACAGGCTCCTGCTTAATGAAGCAAAGACCAACAGGACTGTTTTTTCCTCTTAGGGACAACCAGGCTGAAAACGCAAATGTGACAAGTGTGAAGTTCCTTGGAGTACACCTAGACCCCAAGCTTCAATAGGGTCAATATATTGACTATCTGAGCAAAAATTTATCAAAGAACTTATATGTGCTCAGAAATCTAGTATTAGGCATTTCACACAAGATCTTACGAACAGCTTATTATGTCATTTTTCATTCTCATCTGACATATGCAGTTTTAATCTAGGGGCATTTGACAGGAATGCTGAGTCTTTGGTTTGCAATGTAAGACTATAATAGTTCTTGCAGGCCTTGGGTTTAGGGAGGATTGCAGATTAGCCTATGAGACTAGTAATTCTTACTGTGCCCTCCTTGTGTATATATAAATATATATATATATATATATATATATAATATATATATATATACATGTTTGTTAAGTGAAGCAGGGGCACTTTGGGACCCATGAAGAGATGCACGATCATAATACTACACACAGATGTGATCTTGTTCCAGCCTACTAGAGGCTAAAGAGGTGTCAAACTGGATCAGGGTATTGAGCCATTTAAGTCTTATAGCAAATTGCCTGATAACGTAAAGGATCTACTGTTCTGCTTTTATTTTGACATGTGTTTAGGCTACTGGCAAAATTATGTCAATAATTGAATTTGAATTAAAACTTTGTGGTTTACACGATTTATGGTCTTTGTAAAGTCCTTATATACAGCATGAACTTCAGTGTCTTCCTCTAAAGAAAAAGCATAACCGGGACAAGAGGATGAGAAAAAGGCAAAGTCTCTAAAACCAATAAGTCTAATGCAGACTAGATAATAATCAGAAAACAGAATGGGAGAATCTGCTCAACAGGTATATTAAGGATGAAACATTGGTATACACTATAATAAATCAAGAACAACATGCCTATAAAGCAGGGAGTTCAACCCTGCAGCAATACACAGACTAAGTGGATAACACAACTAACCACCGAATTTGGAAGGTTGTTTATGTAGGCCAAAAAGAGAAAAGGCTCAAGACGCTCCCCTGTGGTATGCCTAATTTTAAATTGATAGGTTCAGAGTAAACCTTATGTCCCTTTTACTCCAAGCACTTTTTGTGACCTATCATAAGGATGTAATTTTGTAATAAGAGAACATGATCTAAGCTATCGACAGCCTCAGATACATCCAAAAAGAGCACCTAGTGTTTTCATCTTTACTTCTAGTTTTTCTAAAATATTTGATATCAAATCATAGGTAGTTGTGTTAACAGATCTTCCTGCGAGAAAACCATGCTGTGAACTACTAAATAAGTTGTTTGCAGTAAAAAAGTTTAGTAATCTAGAATATATTACTTTTTCAAATATTTACCATTATATAAAAATTCGAAATGTACCTTATTCTATACATGAAATTAGACAAATAATTACCTCTTGTAAAATCTGTGAAGAAATTAAACCCAGATTTTATAAGAAAGAAGATTATATACATTTAATCACATCAACAGCTCTATTTGAAAGATTGAACATTCACTTTAAGGTACAATACCCAGTTCTTCCAGAAATTCCTATATGTTTACAATCATTGACAAATTCTACCAATATTACCATGGGCTTTTCCATGTTCAGATACATCTAGTCAGACAGTAATTAAATATTTGAATCAACTATTTTGTTTATTTGGAAGGCCGGAATATATACATTCTGTGAGGGACCAGCTTTACTGTACAAGAATTAATAATTATTTTACAATTTAAATGAATATTTTCAAGTAGTACAACACAATTATAACCCTGAAGATAATGGTTAAGTCGAAATCAAATATAGCAATGAAAACCAAAAATTTAGATATCACTAATAGGAAACAGTTCTACAAGATGCTCTGCGCTCTATTTGAAGTTAACTGTATACATCAACCAATTGTACATCCTATGAATGTTTGTTTACTTATTACTGAAGATTAACTAGCAGAACTTCTATTCCTTCGTGGCTTAAAGAATTACACAAAGTATTACTAAGAAAATTTGTACAAAGAAGTAAGTTTGATATCTTAGTTGAAGAAGTTGATCTTTTAGAAGCCAATTCAGATTATGCCTTAATACAGTATCCAAATGGAAAGAAAAGTATAGTTGCAACGAAGCATTTAGCTCCTAGAGGTGACCCAAAATTCAGGTCCAAAAAGATCAAAATAATACACTATTCCACTAGAATTCCACTAGTGAATTAATATCAGATGAGACAGAAAATTTACCTGTTTAAGAACCGAATCAAGTACCTGATGATAATCCTAAACCTAGATTGGAAAATTCAGATTTTTAATAAAGCTAGATATTTGCAAGATTTTGTTAAAAAAAAAAGGGCCAGGTGAATGTAGTATAATTTAGTGTTCTTAATGTTGTGATAATTGTCAGTATTAAAATAATTGTTTTGTCATTATAATGTGAAGTTTTATGTGAATAAAAGCCTAATTCTGCAAAAAGGTATTTTACTACACTATGGTCTGTTTTTTTAACCAGGAGGAGTAATTCAAATTTTCCGCGCCGTAATGCTTGTTTGCAATTGGTCCAACCGCAGGCAAGTTTACTCCACTAAAGTATGACATATTGACACTAATGACATTTGTGAAATTTATTTATTATTATTATTTTCCTCTAATATATAAATCGATTTCTGACTCTTTAAGTTGTTTGTAATAACTTGGACTTGGTGATATGCGAATAGTATTTAATGTGATATTTTTCTAGATGATATTTATACTAAATATAGTTAAAGTGTTTATAAATTTATAAATGTATGTTATTTATATCTAATTATCATAAGAAAAACGGCAACTATCTTTTAAATTTAGTGTATACTTGTTAAGAAGCATTTCCATTTTGTTTTCATCGCAATAAAAGAACATTAGTAAAGTAATGTTGTGTTTTAGTTTGATTGTATTGATACAGTTGGTTTTGTTCTTCCTGGTTGTAGATCATCACAAGAAAACTGCAAAATTATGCAAGAATGTACATAATGATGGATTTGTGATTATCTCACAGAAATCCAGTATTTTTTAGTAAATTTTATTTGTTGATAACAAATGGGACAAACTCACTGTCAAAATTACACAAGAATCCAGCATTAAAGAAATTGTAAGTACACACTTATTTATACAAAGTATCTGGTAAGAAAAAAAACTAGATTCAAGAAATTGATCATACCAGAATAAGAATATGGTCTACTATTAAAAGACAAATTTCTGAGAAAAACCATACTTAGATCTGTAACATTATTGACTCTCCCGATCAAAATATTCTCTAAATTATAATTAAATACCATAGACTCAAGAGATCTATTAAACTGGATCACCCGATATTTAAATACCAAATGAGAAAAAAGTGTGAATAAAAAAATTATTGTAATAATTGTAATATAATATATTGGAAGTGAATTGAAAAAAAATATTTATTATTCAAACATAAATCACATAAATATAAACAAAGTTAGGTTAAAATTGAGGTGTGACGTTGTCCGATATGATTACTCGATTACCGCAAGGCCGAGATAATCAACAAAAAAAGAAGATGTATTTGGTGACTTTTCTAGTAACTTTCTTGGGTGTGAATCTGTCTTTTTGGTTTACTCCTCCTGGTTAAAAAACAGAGTATAGTATCAAATATTTATGCATAACAATTATTACAAAACACAGACTGTCTTATCAGTTTCTTTAAGTTTACCTTTGCTAGTTTGCAAATATAGAATATAACTGTGTAATATCTATGTATTGAATATACTCACCCTTATCCTATTAACTGTTCCTTGATGTTTAATTAATGCACCAGCCATTTTAGGATTCTGGTTGTTGTCTTCTTCATCATCATCATCTTCATCCGATTCATCTTCTTCATCCTTACCAGTTTGATGCATGTTGGAAAGCTTCATAACAATCACATGATTGGCATGAGATTGAGGAGCCTGGGTTCCGGCTACTAAATAAGCTGTCAAGGGAAAGTTGTTTCTATCATTTCCTAAATTATCTTTAATTATATCAAAACTTAGACATGGTGAACTGGTTTGTGCTTGATGATACATTATATATACAGATGGATCCATCACTAGTTCTTCTCCTTCTTCTAAAGGTTTCCCAGGTAAATATACTTCAGAATTGGAATTGTTGTGGGTTTCACTACTTTCTGCCATTTCACTGTCGTTAATTTCGTTGCCTTCGGCAACGTCCATTTCTTCAGACATTTTGGTATTTTGTGTTTATTTTTTATGATAATTTATATTTATCTCTTAGTTTTTGTGTAAAACATAACCTACACGTGTTTTCGTTTTTCGTATAACCTAACTTCTTATTTGGTCTATTTGCCTCTTCTTTTTCTGTCTATATTATTTCTTATTTGTACCACTTTTTGATAAGATTTTCAAAATTTTTCTTTAAACAAATAAAAATAAAATCAAATTAACAAATATATATAAGTAAAAACTAAATATAAAAATTAATTGATGCAATAGGTTTTAAAAGGTTTGTCGCATCGAACATTGATTTTGTAGAATTATTGTTTCGGTTACAAATTTTAGTCTGTGCTAGTTATTTCATTCGACATTCGCTAAAAATATTTAAAAAGAAGAGAACAATAAACTTCAAACTGACAGTGACAGTGACAAATAGGATAAGAGATATTTTGTTATTAACAAAATCTGATTTGATTTTTCTCTAATCTATTTTAAATGTTTTATATACAGTTTAAGTGATTTAGATTTTTTGAATGTTTATCTAAATTAAATCCGTCATTTATGCAATGAAAGTGTAATTTCAAAATGTCAGGAATGTCACCATCAGAGGTATTTACTATTTGTAATATAATGTAACATCTTTAATCTGTATGATTTACTTAGTAGAACTATATCTGAAAGTTATACATATCGTGTTGCGTATTTGCATTCCCTTGGTGGTATTATATCCCGCTATTCGTTTTAATCTTATATAGATGATTTTCAATTATAATATGTTCAATTAGTTCACAGTTGATTCTGTCTGTCTGAATTTTCCCAAATATTAGCAACTCTTAGATGCGACTCCTCTTGCTATTTTCTTTTTATATTGAAACCAAAGATCCACATGCTATTATAAATAATATAGTTTGGTATATTTTATGCCTAACATATTTTCCTATTTTACCAAATAACCATATGTGTACAAAATTCAGTTTTAGTTTATTTAAGTTTCTTGCTTGAGTATTACCAATTGTCTTCTTCATATTTGAAGCTCCTTTGTGTTGAAATTTTGTAGCTATTGACAATCAATTTTTTTGGTTTTGTTTTGTTATCTTAAGAGATGAACATCCTCTACTAGGATAGTTTAATAAAATTTATGAAAATTACTGGTGATTTAATCAATCAGTACAACTTACAGAAAATTAGACAAAAATAGTTTAACTTGGCAGTATCATGAACACCAGAATGATAACATTGTTAGGAGAAATTGTTAACTTATCCTATGAAGAACAATATTTCATGATTTTTGTTCACATGTTTCTATTTGCTAAGATTTTGTCTTTTTTAATATAACAAATTGTTACAATATTAATTAAGTACTCTACTGATTTAATGAGTAGAATGTATGATAAATCTGACAATTATTGAAGACTGTGAAATTCTCTATTATCTGTTTTTACAAGTTATTTTCAATAATCTTTTTTAAATTATGTTTCATCAACTTTAAATTATTTGGACATGGAATGATACCTAAATCTGCTCAAATAACTTGCTTTTTAGTTACATATGTCAATGAACAGGTCAGAAAAAATCTTCACTTACTTATTTTTAAACTAATTTCATAAACATCATTTGCTTAAATCATTAAGTTATCAATATTTAATGAATTATTAAGTTATTCATATTGAAAATAATTTCACAGGAGAAACTTGAGAATTAGGTGGTGCTTTGATTTTACTCCTTTGCTGAAACCTGTGTTTACTAATATTTCAATCAATAGTTCTATTATTAAGAATGTTACATACCTAACCTTCTAATATTAGTACAAGTGATTATTTTTTAATTATTATCTATTTTATTATTATTATTATTTACTTATATTATCATTAAACCAACACATTTAATTCTTGGTTTTAAAAATACTTTCTATGTAATAAGAGTCTGGCTCAAAGAATATCTTGATATACATTAACACTGGGTGGTATACTAATTTTAAATTCTTTCTCTCTCTCCCTCTCTCTCCCCCCTCTCTCTGTCTCTCTCCACCTTATTCTTTGTTGTTAAATGTAACAATTTTATATTTCTCTTAATATATGGAATTTCTATATTTCTATTAATTAACATATTTCGTTTTATTTATATTTTAGAGGAGATTGCAGAAGGAATTGATGTCTCTCATCAAAGAACCCCCACCAGGAGTCTCTGTAGATACTGACATAACAGAAAAGAATTTATTACAGTATGTATTTTTAGAATAAGTAAAATAAATTTACAAATAATTGTCTCTGGCACAAGTATAATAAAATACAGTTGAAGACACAAGTGTGTGAGGAGTACATGTAATATTCACATTGAGAAAAGTGAAGCCTAAGTTTTTTATTTTTTAATAAAAATATCAAATAACTGATGACAATACACATCCACTTATTAGCATGACCTCAAGCTTATCTTGGGAATGAACATAGTATGGTATCTTTTTAAATTATATCCTTAAAGAATATTTTATTATTAGATGAAAATATTAAATTTTAAATGTATTTAGTTTCTTTATCTACCAAGTGAAAAATGAGAATGCTTTTGTTATTTTATGCCTAAGAGGTACATTTCAGACATTATTGTTTTAAGAAAACTATGCCTTTAATATATTACTATCAATAAGTGTATAATTTCACAGTTTGTCTGTAACTGGTTGACATCAATCATACAGTAGTGGACATAGAGGTGGCTTTTTAACCATTGCTGATCATACTAGAGTATCTGCTCCTGGGATTTGTTGATTGATTGAAATTGGTATTAAAATATCCAATGCAGCTGGGAATTTTTGTATTTCATAGTTTTTTTCTTCTCTACAAGCTGTCTCTTCTACACTAGTTGTTCTTGTGTCATTGGCTTATTGTACATCCTTTATTAATTATTATACAAATCCTTAAGACTTTGACAGTGCTGCTATATACAGGGTGTAACAAAAAGGTAGGTCATAAATTAGGTCACATATTATGGATCAAAAATAGTTCAATTGAACCTAACTTACCTTAGTACAAATATGTACACTTCCCGTCATATAAGCCTGGTACACTTTTTTCCCCCAATGTAAACCTGTGTTCAGACTAGACACAATGTTGTTCAATTGTTCAATCAATTCGTTGTTGCCATCACAGATAACGGAATTGCACTAAATCTAAATAAAAAAAATAATGTTCAAAACTGTATAAAATTTTTAGATATGTATTATTTTTATCATTAACAACAAAAAACCGTATCTAATAGATTAAATAACCAGAGATACAGTTGAGTTAATATCCAAAATATTTGAAGGATCTTTAAACCTAGGGTATTGGCACAGGAAATATTGGAATGCATCTACTGTAATTTTATACTTCAATTACCTATTACGAACTGTATTTTGTGTCAATAAGTTTTGTAGCAGGCAAACTCCCAAGATTAATTTATTATTTACAAGAACGATAAAAATGTGAAAAACTAACATTATACTTTATCCTACGTATTATAAACTATAAAATATTCGGGGCGAAAAAACGCCTTTTAAAATGTGCCAGTTACAATCCAATATCTCACTGAAATGTTTTATTATAATAATTTAAAGTTATGTCTAGATTGATTATCTATCATTATTTTTGAATTGAAATATTTTCATAAATTGTTATAAAACACAAATCAATGTATGAGTACTTAATTGAGATGATGGAAAATTACAAAATTAATATGAGAATTTTTAAGGATGCATGTTTAAACAAATTTAATGTGACTGACTGATCGAGAATGCTCGATAATGTTTTAGTTTTTAGTATACTCAAAACTGGCGATTTCTCACACAACCCTGCTTTTAGCTGGTTTAATATAATATTTTCGTTGAACTGGCAATGGTGTCATAGAAATTAGAATGACACATTTGACAAGATCAACGTACACAACTTAAAAAACACGATTTTTGATTATAAGAGTTGAACCAGTTTTTTATGACGCGAACGGTACATAAGTTACGCTCCTATTTGTGCACTCCATAATAAATTTTATGGTTGTTTTGTTACCTTAACCCCCCCCCCCCCCCCCAATATTTGTGTATGTTCCAATTAAATTATTATTGTTGCATTATTAGTTAAACATAATGATTTTAAAACTTTTTTACCTCTTAATACTTTTTCGATAAGCCGATTTATCGAGATGAGGCTTCTTTTTTATTATGTTTCAAACATTCTGTAGTTGTAGGCGAGCAGTTTACCTCTATAAGCCGAGAATGAACCGACAAATTTGTTTTGCGTTTCTACCACACTAAACCTTTTTTATTCAGTCTTATATATTTTTTCAAGTTCAAATGTATTTTTTTCCATGTGGGCCAGAAATTGTTATTAACAAATAACTTATTAGGCGTATCTTAGCAAAATAAATAATTTTTCTATCTTGGTACTTTTTCGAAAAATGCTTCATTATCGAATTATTTTCAATGTTTTGTTGAAAAATGCCATAATTAGTGATTTTTGTATTTTTTTTTTCTAAAAAACAACTCAATGAATTTCAATTCTATAAAAAGCTTTATAATGGATCCAAATATATCGAATATGCATTTCGAGCAATATATCGCTGTATACGATAATAAGTGTGAATGGTTACGGCGCAACATGTGCGCGGCGCTTAGAAATCTTTGTATAAATTAAAAATTATATTTTTAGCAAGATAGAAACCATTTATCTTGTAAAAATGTTCTTACTTATATGTGTAAATTTAAAGATTATAAAGCTTTTTGTAGAAGTGTAATTCGTTTAGTGGTCTTTTAGAAAAAAGTCATCGATTAGGATTTTTAACAAAAAATTGCAAGTAACTCGAAAAGGAAGCATTTTTTGAAAAAGTATTAAGAGAGTAAAAATGCTTTACTTCGATGAGATACGTCTAAAAAAATTACTCGAAACGATTGGGCATTTTTTTATACATAAGTTATTTGTTAATAACAATTTCCGGCCCACTTGGAAAAATTAAAAAAAATACATTTTAATTTGAAAAAATATAGAATCGAATAAAATGGGTTTGGTGCCGTAGAAATGCAAACAAAATTTAGTCGGTATATTCCGTCTAAGCCTCTTTTTAGGGGTAAACCGCTCCACTATTGGTTGTATAACACTTGTTGTTAGAAATACTATGTATTAAATAGTATCATCAACAATACGTAAGCAGTCCGATAAGTACTTAGCCTCACCGTCCGATGACGCCACTATCTCAAGAGGAACCTATAGGTGGGCTAAATATCACTACCCTGTGATTAGAAAATAATAATCACGACCTGTGAATAACAACAAAATATACTGTGACTGTGATTTCGGTCTTATTTTAAGTATGTAGTTTTTGATCGCTAAAACGTGATATATCACGTTCTCGTCTCAGTCGCAGAGTTGTGAAATGAGAGACGTGTAACAGGAACAATATAGAGGTAGTCGGCGCATCGGCGGTATTGTGAAATCTCTTTCTAATGAGGAATGTAAAGGCAAAGATAATATTGTATCGTCTTTGGAGGAATATGAACATCGCTAGTTTAGTCTAATATTAGTATGTAAACAAATATTATTTGAAAAAAATAAAAAGGGTATTTAGAGTTTCAGTTTATTGAATTTGTGTAACTCGTCGTATTTGTATCGATATTCAATTATTATATTCTCATGCATTTTAAAAATGACATCAGTGCCAAATAAAAAAAATTGGTGGTTTATGGAACTTTTTTATGAAAGTGAATTATTATAAAAATTTAAACAGATGACTCGATGTTGTGTCGGATGACATTTATGACTTTTATTAAATTTTGACCATCCTTACAAATCGAATTTTAGTGACAGATATTCTATTAACTTTTTACTTCTCATTTAATGTCCAATATTTTGTTAGTTATTTTTTGTGCAGTTTTTAATTTAAACCTGCTTAGATATAAATATTATAAATATATGATGATTAAAAACGAATTGATCCAGAGTAGTGAATCAGTCATCCATATCCATCGTCTTTCTCCGCCAAGCACGTATTCTCATATTTATCATGTCTTCATCGATGTTATCAAGGAACTTTGTTCTGGTTCTTCCTCTTCTTCTCTGACCAATGGGTATATCAAGGAGCATTTCTTTAGCTGGGTCATTTTGTTCAAAACATTCTAACATGTTTTCATTATTTTTTGTCCAGAGTCCAGGTCTCTGAATCATATGTTAAAACTGGGCGTATTATTATTTTGTAGAGTTTTATTTTTGTATTTCTCGATATAATTGTGGATTTAACGAGGAGATTGAGCCCAAAATAGCATTTGTTGGCCGTGCAAATTCTGTGGTTTATCTCTAAGGTAGTATTATTTACAGTGTTAAGGGGCGCTCCCAGGTATACAAATTCATTCACTGCTTCGATGACGTCGTTTTCTATAACGAGTGGTCGTAGGATTTGTGGTTGAGTGCTTATTTGCTTATAATTCGTTTTGTTGGTGTTTATTATTAAACCCATTTTTGTAGCTGATTCTTTTAATGCTATAGACGCCTCTTGTACAGTGTTTTCCGTTCTCCCAACAATATTGATATCATCAGCATAGGCCAGGATTTGCACTGATTTATTATATATTAAATCAGTGGTTGTGATTTGTGACATACGTATTACTTTTTCCAGAGCCAGATTGAACAGTATATAGGAGAGTGGGTCTCCCTGACGCAGCCCATTATTAGTTTTAAAAGGTTTAGACAGTTCTCCCTGAATTCGTACTCTACATTCAAGTTTTTCAAGAGTTAGTTTTGTTGCTTCAGCATTTTCATCATCATCATTGGCTCCACAACCCATGGTGGATCTTGGCCTGCTCAAGGATACGTCTCCATTCTCTCCTATTCTTCGCCTTGGCTTTCCAGTTTCTATTCTCAACATTCTCAAGTCTTCCTCCTCCTTATCCTTAAATCGTGCTCTGGGTGTGCCTCTCCTTCTCACTCCATCTATTCTTTGGTTATAAATATGTTTTGGCGGCTCCATCTCATTCATTCTCTCTATGTGACCTAACCACGATGGACCTAATAATATCAGGTTTATCACAGAGGCGGTAAAGTTCGAAATTATAGCGTCTACGCCATAATCCGCCCTCCTGTACTCCTTCATAGATATGCCGGAGGATTTTACGTTCAAACCATCTTAAACGTTCTCTTAAACCGTTAACGTAAAACGTTAAACTTCATCTCTCTTTCTCATCATCCATGTTTCCGACGCGTAGGTGAGAAT